ACGGTAAATCCTGGGGCTACAATTTCCATCTTAGAAACGATACGACCTGCTCGACCGCTCTCTACTAAATAATCCGTAGATATACGTACTTCAAGTAATTCAGACCCCCAAAACTTCCAAAATCTAGGACCTGTAGTACCTTTATAAATAAAACGAATGCTACCTGTGTCCTACGATTGCCCTTAAATCTGAGAGCACTCCCTTGTTTTACGAGCTGATTTTGTAGTGAAAGGTGATTTTTCCAACTTGTTGTTGAACAAATGTTAACCCCCCCAAAGCGACGGCCTGTATTATACACGTTTCGTAGGGAGGGCTTATCCTGTATAATACACGATAAATGGTGCATGAATGATCTGCTTGTTTTTCACCTTGTTTTTGTATACGGTCATACAAACGCTAAGCCAAAGAGGGATAGGTATGTGAAGCCTGATCCCCATCCTTCCTGGTGCGGTGTGCGCAGGCGGTGCATTGCACAATTTTTCATAAAATAAAAGTTTAGAGGCAACTCAGCGATATGTGGTTCACGCCAAATCAATATAAGAAACTGCAGGGATTTTCAACGTCACTCATTTTGGCGCTCATTTCAGAAAACTCCCGCTCCCAGTCAGATGTCGGGGTTTCGGGCCCGGTGGAAGGAACTACGGCAGGAAGGCTGGTCTTCCAAGCCTCCTACAGGCCTCTCAAATGACCACACCTATCTGAAGCCCGGTAAAAGCAAGACAGACGTGCGCGGAATAGACTTCTTTGTAGGGGAGAAGGAGCTGATGTCGTATTTGGATCGACTAGACCTCGGTAAGTTGTTTATTCTAATGATGTATTGAAAACCTGAGCCTAACCGTTGACGCGTGTATAGATGAGCTTGCGAGGCAAAAGGAAGATGAACGACAGACCGACGACGCCACACACGCATCCTCGAGGCAAGATGATGGAGCCACTCCACCTGATGACGCTACTACACCTCCAATAGGTATATATTACAACGCCTGTACATTACACCGTACCTGTCTAACACTATCGTGTATTATGCAGTTAGTACAGTGCGTGAAGAGCCACTCTCAACCACCCCAGTACGACAACAGACGCACCCCAGCTCTCCAATGCAATCTCACTCCAGTGCACCTCTAATTACTACTTCGCCGCACGAAGCTGACGACGATATCGATGCTTTATTTTCGTCAAGTCCAGACACACCCGGTACGTTTACTGTGCCATCCATACAATTCGAAGGTGTTGTAGCTAACTCTTTTCAACGTTGTATTTTTCCAGCTGTGCCAACCACTTCAAGGCGCAATCTGTACGAGCTGTTTGGGTCTTCACATGAGTCAGATGACTCTAACGACTCTCCGCAAAGCCCCACAAATGTGCAACAGTCCGCAGACGGCGATCGCGTGGACGCGGCATCGAACGCTGCGTTTTTCTGTTCGTCTTTATCTGGTAGGTTCAAACGTGTATGTACACGATATACAATTCCTATGTATACATGATACACATACATGATAATAACAACTATCATGTATATTTTAACAGACGATCCTAACATTCTAACGCCCGGCGATGACAAGTATGTCTTTGCAAGTCTTGATTCGGACGAGGAGGGGGGAGGATTCTCTGTGTACGCACGATGAATGATGAGCTGAGCTCGCTGAGCCTGATCCCAGCATTGAAGATGAAGATGTCGTCCCACCTGAGCTTCCATTGATGCGTCTCTACTTGAAGAAGTAGGTGGTGTTCACGAGATTGCACGTGGCAACCTCAAGGCTGATGTTTTAGCCGACATGAAGGAGAACGGGTGGTCTCCAGTACACAATCAGACGCCTTACCCATACATGGATGAACCCTACGACGTGCGTCGCGATGATTGGGCAAATATTGACTATCCGGATTCATTTCGCGGTGAACATGGACCAACAGCTGCAGCGTTGAGCGCTGCCGAGACCCCAATTGGTGCATTTTTCAGTTCGTCCCGCCGTACTTACTAGAAAGAATTGCGGGTGCTAGTAACGACTACTTTATGGAGAACCTGGACGCGCGAGTGGAGAGTCTACACGCCAAGCAGCTAGATAGGAAGCTGAAAAGGCCTGATTTCCATGTCTCATCTCCGGATATCATAAAGACTAAGCTGCTGAACACGAAGGACATTTCAGGACGAGAAATTGCTATTTTTCTTGGATTACTTATTGCAAGAACGATAGCTCCCAACAAAGAGAGGTTTGATAACCATTGGAAGACTACAGATGAAGGTGCTATACCTCGTGGCTGTTTTAACGCATTTATGACTAGAGATCGCTTCTATCATATCTCGCGGAATCTCCATTTTAGCAGCAATGCTGACGCAAGAGCGCATACCGATCGAGCTTGGAAACTCCGCCCGGTGATTGACGTGCTGCAAGAAACATTTCAGGCAAGTTTCATCCCACCTCCAATAATGGCGTTTGACGAAGCGATGCTTCCGTGTACGTCTCCGTTCAACAAGATGAGAATCTTCATATGGAACAAGCCCCATCGCTGGGGCACAAAGCTTTTTATGCTGTGCTGTTCCAAGTCTGCATACTGCATCAGGTAAGGAAAAGAGCGTGCCTTCGGGCACGCTCTTTTTTTTTTGGTTTCAAAGCTACCTTATCGTGTCTTCGGCGTGCTAAAATCTTTTGAACTATTGTGTATATTACAGGTTTGAAGTCTATTGTGGAAAGCAACAAATGCAAGACAGTAGCACACCCAGTGATGAAAAATCGGGACCTGCCGCAGTCGTACGGAACTTACGTCAAGTCTTTGGCGTAAACGGACCAACTGAGCGACGTCTCATAGTCACCGACAGGTTTTACACCTCTGTCGCGCTGGCTATGCAGCTGCTGACCATGAACTTCTACAGTTTGGGCACAATAATGACGAACAGAAAGGGGCTGTGCAAAGCAATTCTACCAAAGAAGACTAAAAACGGCAGGAAGGAATCAAAGAAGCGACCAGCACAGATCGTCAAAGGAACGTATGACGTAGCCACCCTCCAAAAGGTGCCATCGATCAAGGCCGTCCGTTGGTGGGATAATCAAGCGGTGTATCTGCTTGCTGCTGGAGGAAGTGCAGTACCAGACCGTATCGTGTTTAGGAATCCAGTAGCTGGAGATCAGACAGAGTTGATGTGTCCACGGATCGTTAAAGACTATCAGACTTTCATGGGCGGAGTCGACGTTCACGACCGGTTACGTCTACAACGGCAAGTATTCATATCCTGTATATACACGTTGAAGTCATCGTTTTAACATGTATTGTACGTATTATTAGGTATTCACTGCAATTGGCTCGGCGCTACAAGAAGTACTACAAATCTCTCTTTCTGGGACTGATAGACATGGCTATCATCAATGCTTTCATCGTGCACAATTACCATCGCGCGGCAACCGGGAAGCCAAGGGTTTCCCACGTGACTTTTCTGAAGACGCTTCATCTACAGCTCTGTCAGCTGCTACCGGAAGATTGGGTGCAGCTTCTTCGCCACCGCGGGCATCACGCGACGCCAACGCGGGCACGACAAGCTCGAGCGGCGCACATGCCTGTACAGGCCGACGAGTGGCGCAAAGGAAACTCCGATAAGACGAGAAAGCGTAGGCAGCGTGCGTGCAAGGTTTGTTCGGTGCTAAAAGGCGCTGCCACGTCTCGAGGAGGGGAAACGACATTCTACTGTGCTGAATGTAAGCTGAAAACAACATCAAGACACGAGTTAGCCGCACGCGTATTCCTCTGCAACAAGGTGAAGCATTGCAGCAAAGGCGAACCTACTTCGTGCTGGGATATCTGGCATAAACACTGGAAAAATGGGACTATGATCCCTCAATCAGGACGCAAGCGCAAACTTCGAGCCCGGAAGCCCGCACACGCTGCAAGTGACGGTGGCTCTGATGCCAGCGACTCGGAGTCGCAGTCTAGAGCTGAAATCGGAAGTGTTTCCTCTCAGGGTCGTTCGGGATGGCGGCCACACACCAACGATGACGGCATCTAGTGAGATCGTCGTCAGAGCACATGTTCCGGCTTCAAAAGTAACTTGATTTGAATATATGTTTTTTTGCGCAGATCGCCATGTGGAATCCTTTTCTAAATATCGACAAAAATATGACCCGTCACTCCCCGCTAGATGTGTTTTTGTACAAATGTTGTGTTGTCTTGGTTCACTCAGATCACGATATTAGCGTTATCGCGTACAGTGCAGACATGTTAGTATACCTGATACACGATATCGAGAAATGAAGACCCTAGGGGTGGGGCGCTGTACCGACTCTGTTAAATACACGATAAAATATAGCTGGGTCTTACTATTGTAACCCACTATCCATAACGTGTATGGGGTTTCGGTAAATAGGCGCAACGAAATCCGCTCGCTTTCGGGGATGCTGACATCGCGAACACTCGATAGGTACTCGCAGTTTTTCAATCGATCAGATATTTGCTGAGTTATTGCAATTTATGTAGGGGCATCGTCTATTTACCCTAAACTGGCCATCGACCTTATAAGTTTTTTGGAACATGGCTGTTAAACATTTTACAAATTTTCATGTGTTCATAAGATTTGTCGCGGTGCATGTTTGAGTCATCTCTAAAGGAGCCCCATTATTAATACACACAGCGATCGGCGCTCTCGCGCCACATGCAATCAATTGCAGATGATGATTGGCTACTCCTGTCGGAATTGCAGCCACTACCTCTAGGTATTAATAGGCTTTTAGACATGGACAAAACCAGGAGTGTTATTGTGCCTTACTGCCAAAACGCTCTCAGTTTTGTGGTCCTACGTAGGAGGATGGTCCTTACGGAAGCCCTCCTATCTGATCGGGTGCTTCCGACTAAATTTTAGCCTAACCCTTTGACGAAACCAAACGGCGATGCCAATCAAAGACATATTTGACCAGATTTGACAAAATTTCATTAAAATATTAGTATGCATTCTGGGCAACTGGTTTGCATGCGTTTGATTAGCCCGTCAGTTAACAGGTGGCGTGAGTTCAATTCTCATGTCTGCAGGGAGCTCGATGCTTGAGGTAAGTGTGTGCAAGTCCTTCGTCGAATCGGAGACATAACCAAGGGTTTGGGTCGGCACGCCACATCCCTTCGGGTATGAGTCTCATATGGATAAGTCGGGATAGGATTTCCGGGAATAATCGCACCACTTGGAGGTTCTGTTCAATCGGCGTTCGGCGGATGGCAGATGGGATAATTCTCTGGGCATAAACGTTCTCGATTGGCTAAATCCCTACTTTATTGCAAATATACAGATCATGGATTTAATACAAATTATAAGACAGATTAACAAAACCGAAACAGATTGTGTCCACATCTTATGACATTTGGCAAAATAACATCCCGTTTCGACATGATCTCCTAAATTATGTCGAGCTCTACCGTGAGTATTCTCCCACGCCCTGGCATCCTTTGGCTTAAAGGCTCACTTTTAGTTTTACAATGTCGCTGCCACTACCAGCAATTCTAATCTGCCGCGTTACCATCAAGAACAGCGATCCTCTCACTTCGTGCCGAAACAAGACCTAGCCCATCGACTTCTCCTTTCAGATTGAACGTGGCTTTAGGCTATTCAAGGACTAAGTAGCAACCGAATTCATTCGTCGTCTGCCAAACGATTGGCAGGATGACTTCAGCGTCTATCTCAAGCCCACCAAGCACGCCCCACTACGTGAATTACTCAGGTTGGACGAGGAAATTTTCTCCAGCCGCGCCGCCAGATCTTGGGAATTAGCTCGCCTTCGCCTACACGGTCAGTCTGATTTTGTATTAATGAGTTTTGTTTATGTTCCAAGAGCACCAGAGCCAAGAGCCAACACTATTCGTAGAGCAACCGAGAATCGAATCCAAGAGCAAGTTCACAGCTGTACATGGCAACAATGCAAGCTCGACTTCCAGCTGACGCTCCACTACAAGTTCCTGATAACACAACATTTCGACAACTTCGGAACATTGATCAGCTTTCGCAGGAAATGGAGACGAATCAAGATACAACTCAAGCAACCGCTGACATGAATTTCAGAATGCTCAGGATCAAAATTCAAGGTGCAGTGATCCAAGTGCAAGTTCGTGTTGGATATCGCCAGGAAATTCTCGATTTACCGGCCTACAGCCTTTGCCCTCCGCTCCGTGACCCGGTAGATTTTGAGACTCCCGCTCCTGCAGAAGACATGGATGATATCGATCACCTTAACGATCAACTCTAAGGAGCGTAGTAGAGGTAGAGTACGATGTTTTCAGTACGAATACATGAATAGTATTAACACTCACTAATTTCTATACTGAGTTTGTTCCCATCGTACCCACAGTGGCCGTACAAATTTTGTCCAACTTCCTCAGAATGTCTAGTGCAAAACTACAGCGCGACATTGAGGACCGCAAGAGGATTTTCACGGAACGCCATATTTGCGTGGCGTTGGATTCATCGTTTTAGAAGAGAAAATCCGACTTCTATAGGATTTAAGTCAGGTGAATACGGCGGCGGAAAAAATAACAGTGCACCGATACCGTGAATAAGTTCTTAACATTCTTCGTACATGTGAATTTTGGCGTTGTTTAAAGCGACAATTGATCTCGGTAAAGGCCACGGATTGAGGAATGGTAGAATTTTCAACTTGAAAGTCTCGTGGAACGTCTGCCGGGTGAAAGTATCCTCGGTTGTACCCCACGCATAAAATCCTTCAGCGTCGAGCTCAGCAAGAACTGAGATTCGCTTTCCGAGGGAAAATGGAATGGACACAATCGCTGGGTCTCCGTGCGCGGACCACGCGTGTTTTCTCAGGGAGGACCTAAACCATAGCAAAGCCATACAACAAATTAACAAGGTAAGATGTAGCAGTCACAAAATTGATATTGTACACTACGTTCCATCCTTTGAAGTTTCATTGTCAAACACGATTTGATCTGGCCGCGCTGTAGAAAGGCAACAGCCTGTTCACAAACTCTTGGCGCTCTTTTAGGATACTTTCACGAGCTCTTTTAGTCAGCACTTCTCGCGTTAACCCCAAATCGAACCGTAAAGCACGACAAATTGTCGAATCGGAACAGCGATATTGTGTTGAAAACTTCTCTTTTAATACCTCACGCAGCTCATGGAAGTAGAAGCAGGGGTGTTGCTTTACATAATCGCGAACAAATTGTTGCACTTCAATCGGCCATTTAGATGACCGCTCATTCTTTGGGGTGTCGTCGACATTTCCTGTTGCCTTGAAGAGATGGTACCATCTCCGAAGGCTTTTGGCCGAGACGCCCAGTACACCGGCAACTACGCTGATTTCAATATTGTAGACATACGGCAAGGCAATGCCTCGCCAGCGTATGTCTGTATTTGATTTTAAATCAATCTGTTGTGAATACCTTACGTAAGGGTAAATGGCCGGTAAATACTGGCCATTCAACCCTTAATTTGTTAAAAGGTACCTTGTAGACCAAATCGGAGCAGGACCTCCACAATCAAGTATTATTGGATCATAGTCGGCAAAATCAAACAGTGTTATTGGTCAAATATCATTTATTTAGTGGCCTGGCTTAGCAATTCAACTCCAGATCGTCCTCAAACCCCACCTTTAACCCTACCCACCCTTGCTTAGGACCAGCCTTTAAAAGTTCAGATTGGCCATAACTTTGTAAGGAACAATATATTCTTTGTCGCGCAGTCGGCTATAATAGTATAATATAAATTACGATATGATTGGTCAATTGGGAAACAGTAGGAAAAGCTGACCTGAAAAGTTTCCAGGTCAGTTTTAATTCCTTAGTTCCCGGCCAAAAAAATCAGGGGTATATTTTTATCCTTATGTTGGAGGTCCAACATAAGAATATATTGTAAATTCTATGTGTCGTGTTTAAGTTCGATTTTTGGCGGGAGGGTCAAGGGAGAAGAACTGGATTGCATGGTTGAAAGAAAACCGCCATGTACAACGTAATGCGCTTTATGCTGAACGAATCGAACCATTTTCAGCGCTAATGTTGATATATAAACATAAGAGATGCCCTTTTTACTGAGTGAACCCTTTTTCTGAGTGCTGCACACGTGCAGCACTTGTGGAGTCAGAGCTGCGAACCAATCAAAGCAGCAGAAGAAATGTGTTTCATTTGATTGCATGCTTTCCCCATCAGCTTACTGACATGTATGACCTTACATTCTACTCCTATTTTTCGACTGCGCGCTCGTTTTTTTTAGCTACACTCGCGACCGTACAAAGCCGCACTACCGTCTACATCGCCGCGCGAGTCGCCACGTCCATCCTGCGCGGTACGAGCGCGCTTTTTGCCTGGGTGAGTCGGAGGCGGGCGGTTGCGGAGCGTGTGCTCCTGTAGCAGCGTGCGCGATATGGCGTTGCCATTTCCCCAGTCTTCGTACCATATCTGGAAACAGGTTTTCTCCCTCGGCGCTCGGGCAATACTACAGAGATATTTACAAGTCAAAGAAGTGTGTTAGGTAGACATATAGGGATGTAGCTTAGAGTGCGACGAACCGTCGGCTTCCGGAGGAACATTCAGGACAGAAGTACTTTGTGTATTTCTTTGGCTTGGACTTATACACAGCGCAGACCTTGCATGAGCGGTGTCGCCTCTTGATGCCCTGGTCACAGTCCACCGTGTCCGGGTTCTCTTCCAGATGATGCCCGTCTTCTGTTTCAGTAGCCCCTTCGTCTCTTTGGCCACACGGTGCAGACTCACACCTTGCTGGTGATGCCGCGTTTTGCTCCTTTGCTGATGTCGCTTGCTACAAGGTACCAACATAACGACATTAAGTTGGAAACGGCACTGGCCAATGCGATTCTTGTGTTGACCAGTCAGCATAATGACGTACCTCAATTTGCTCGAAAGCTTCTTGATCGTCGACTGCAAGCAGTTGCTCCATCCGCGCTTCAAAGAAGGCCGAATGTTTGGGCGGGTTCTTCATCTTTACCTTCCGGTAGTGTCGATGTACAATAAAGGCATTCACGAGCGCCATGTCGAAAAGGCCAACAAACGAGTTATGTAGTACTTGCGGATCTTGTATGCGAGCTGTACGCTGTATCGCTGCATTCGCAGCTGGTCGGGAACGTCGACGCCGCCCATCCATCGATGGTAGTCCCGAATAAGACCGGGTGCAGGCACTGCACGCATCTCTCCATGTACAGGCCTCACTGTGACGACATATCAGTAGTTGGTTAGCTTATACAATGCAAATAAATAAATAGACGCATACTCACTGAGTGTGTCTGACGCTCTGCTGCCCCCAGTAGACAGCATGTAGACCGGATTGCGATCCATCCACATTGCTGCTGTCAGCATTGAAAATTGCTTACTTTGGGCAAGCAATGTGGTCCCCTGAGGTGGGATCGACACTTTGCGCTCGTTCACTGTTTTGGGTTTTTTCTTTGTAATCACCCCACGGGCGTAACCTGATCGATCTGTTTGAATGGTGCCGATGAGGTATAGCCGGCGGTGATACATCTCAATGCGAGCCTCACAGAGGTTTAAAAGCGGTCTGTGTCCACCAAACGCCACGGCGACTTCGACGAAGGTGGACACAGTGCGTTCATGTTTCTGAGCACGGCCGCTTCTCCGCTGTTGTTGTCGGCCGGGACTGGTGTTTGGAGGTGTGTTTTAGAACCGCAGTAAATCTCAATTCTGCAAAAATTAAAAAAAAATAAACAGAAGTTAGCGTAATAAATACTAATAAAATACTTATGTTACCCACATCCAACATAAGGACTTAGACCCCCAAAAAAAGCAGCAAGCCTGAGCTTGCTGCTAAATACGAACCTCATGCAGTAAATCGTCTTGGCACAGGCTGCGATGAATATATTGGTGGCCCCACTTGTGGGGCTTGTCCTTGTTGTACTGGCGAGTTGGATTATAGCGTGAGCGAGAAGGCAGCGTTGCCTTGTCAGAACTAATGACCGGAGGCGCTGTGTAGTCGCGAGCAAACGTGCGTTGAAGCACATCAACAACGGGTCTAGTTTTTACACGCTCAATCCACCTTGGCTTGGGGAGAATTGTTGTTGGACAGATGTATGTAGCCCATAATGTGGAAGAAGCAATTCTTCGACATGTAGAGCCCAAAGCGATTAGCAGGAAGAGCACCCACTCTTTTTGTAGATCAATGTGCTGCAATGCCCTTCCGAATAGGTACTAGCATCCGTGCCACCAACAAAGCCATAGCTCTGAGAATCTCCCAGGGCTCAATATCCGAAACACCGGCAAGTCGTCGACAAATTTCACCAATTTCCTCAGCTTCTCCATCTTGCAGACGCTGCGATCGAATCGTCCGCGCACGCCGTAGTATCGTTTGAGCATGATAGCGGTTGCTTTCTACAGCAATTTGCCTTCACCATTTTGGCGGCATGAAATAGAACATCAAGGTTATCGGGTCGTCGCCAACTTCGATAATGCTGTCACTTGGCCCAAAAGCGTCACTGTAGAGATCCTTGTATTCTGGGTCTGGTCCAAATTTGGCAGTATCTACAAACAGTCGTACACCAGGGTACGATGTACAAAAGTTGACAATTAATCCAAATCAATTTTCTTATGTAGAATACAAGCAGCATAACGTACCGTACTCCCAACCAAAGCTTCAAATCGCGCCCTTGTATTTGGCTACACTTGACCAAATCGATTCCGGAAGCTCTTCAGGGACGCCATCGGAATCTTCATCCGTTAGATTACCGAGATCCCAATCACCATCCCAATCATCCACGCTATCGTCGTCATAGCTGGCGTCGTCATCCTTCTCCGGCTTCTCTTGAAGATCAGGGTCTTCATCCGAATTCAGCCCCGTGCATTCTTCAGCTCTTGCCGCCATCATATTCGGATCTCCATCGACAACACACGCTGGGGCCACAGGTGCAACATGTGCTGCGTCTCTTCCGTCTTCGTCGCTAGATGGCTCCTTCATGTGTTACGAAAAAATGTTATGCTGATTAGTTTGTTGAGCAAATGACACCACAACTATGCTTATGTTGGGTCTGGTAGACATAATAATTACCTCTTCTGAGGCGTCGTTTTGGAGAATGCCACTTCCCGGAAATTTGTACTGCAGGTCGTTCGCGCGTTGCAGAGCGAGATAAAACCACAGCAGGTAGCGCAGTGGCGGCAGCCCTGTCAAAGAATACGAGTTGGCGTCGCGAGCCCCTCCGTAGACCCGACCACTGTCACCAAGTCTGCCAATACACTCTCCACTTCTTCGCCGTCATACGTAGAAATCACAGGCTCCGCCTCCTTCGCCTTTGCTCACCCCGCTTCCTCATCCGCCTCCTTTGATGCTGCCACCACACCACTCCAGGTTTTAGCTGGCGCTCGCGAGGTCTTTGCAGCCGTCTCCTTCGCTGCCTTCTTCTTCACAGGCGCGCCGGTCTTCTTCGGTGCCGCTTCCTCCTTTGCTTCCTCCTTTGACTCCTCGCGACGTACACGTCGATCTCGACGCCGAAGGTCCAGGCACAGTTGTCGTTCCCTGGCCGTGAGTTTGTGCCGTGGCGTCTTGCCGACAGGTCCCACCATCTTCTTACTCTAACGTCTTTTTCGAGAATGAGTGAATTTGGTGGCTGTCGGCCACACTGTGTGGCCCACACATCGATGATGGGTGAGTCCTTACCCTTTTTTATCATGCTGATCCGATCCGCAGCAAAAGCAGCCCCAAACCTGTGCATTTGTTTTTTTTACTCACAAAAATTAATCAAAAATTCATTTAAAGAGGATAAATGACAGATGTGCAATACAAACCTCAAGTCACAATATCTCCTATGCTGTCAACATAATGTTGAGCGTTCCAACATAAACAAAGACTCATGTTGGAACTTCCAACATGGGTTAAAACAAAAACGGTACTATGTACCAATTGTGGATAGCCAATCAAAATGCTTATATTTCTCTCAGTCTTGTACTTAGACCAACGCCTAAAGTGATGGCGGCACGGTTAACGCGTACATTACTGCGGCGGACTGGCGTCACCTCCTCTACGACTTCCTGCAAGCTTTTCGTTTCTCGAACCTTTGCGAATGCAGCAAGGGGCTCCGACGAAGCTATCAAGTCGGATTTTAAGCGCTGGGCGAAGAAGGAGCTGGCTCTGTTGGCCTTCATGGTGGCGGCTGGGACCACGGGCGTTCACTTCTACCAGGTAAAGCTCGACTAGACAAATGATAATGAAGACGACTAGGTATTGAAAGTTTTGTGCTGTGAAGAACCGAAAAAGTTCTCCAGTGAAGCAAGTTGAGCGGCTGGTCAAGCAAGCGGAGCAGAGTGCCAAGCAGGTGGGGCCTTTGGAAGTTATGTCTCTGGTAGATAATGATATCATCATCTTTGATAATTGTGGATCCCTGTAGGGAGATCCAAAGCAGGCACTTAGGCATTGTCTGCACGCTTACGACGTCATCAGGGGCACTAACCCGCACGGTGCGTACTTCTCTCGACGTATCTAAAAGGCGAGGGAGACTAATTGCGGATGACATTCCGACAGACCGACACTTGTTCGAGCTGGCGTTCTCTATTGCTGCGCAGTATGAATCGTTGGACAAAGATACACCCGCAACAAACTACTACCTCGACGCGCTGGAGCACAATTTGAGCGAGATGAACGTCGCCACGAGGGAGCGGAATCGGGTGGTCACACTGGACCGTATTGCACAGTCCTACGAGAACAGGTGCGTCCGCGTAAAGCTCGGTCGTCCTGCATGTAGGGAAGCTGATCGCTCACTTGCTCGTGGATCTTCCCCATTAGAGGCCACGTCAATACAGCGGAGAGATATTTCAAGCAAGCGATTAGTACGTACGACCAGAACCGAGGACGGCGAGAGCTGTCAAAGGTACCGAGGAGTGAGGCGATTGACGTCGCGGCACTCGATAGGGAGATGCCCGGAGTGCTTTTCAACTACTCGCAGCTCTTATTGGCGAACAAACGCTGGAGTGAAGCCGGGAATACGCTGCAACGCGCCTTGAGTCTCGCCCGCGTGTCCTCGCTGTCAAGTGAGTATGTGGAGCTTATCGAAGGTGCAATGGCCAATGTTAAAGCTGTGGAAGCGTCAGAAAAGGAACGAACAGGGCAGAAGCAAGAAGTGGAGTAAACTTTTAATGAGGTGGACGATGCCGATCTTTGTTCAGGCTGGAGACTTTGTGGTCTACAAGCAAAGCCTTGTACAGTAACTTGTGCCGATGCCAATTTGGTGAAGTCTGAAGCTGGTAATGCTAGCCACGAGGGAAGCTCTTAAAGTGTGCTGCCAAGCTTGACCTTTTTGCGATACATGTGTCCTTGACATTAAAGGACAAAAAATAGGACCAAAAGTTCCTTTTACACTAAAGCTCTATGCTCATCTACTGTACATGTAGACGTCTACCGAAACGGTAACGGTGGTGTTCCTAAAGCTCTATGTTCATCTACTGTACATGTAGACGTCTACCGTAACGGTAGCGGTAACCGCAGTAAATGGACATAGGTGTGTAATCATTTCTCTGTTTTGTTTCAATATAAGTACAGTATGTATAACTGATGCGAAAGAAACCGGGTCATATTTGGAAATTAGAATCATCGCAAAATACCCGAAGTGCAAACCTCATCTTTATTTGCTCCTAGTATAAATTGCCGTACGCATGCTTCAATAATATTGAAGCATGCCTGGTCCTGAGTAATCATTAGCAATTGTAATCAAAAGAGCGATTTAGCAAGAGCAACAGCATATGGCGAACCGAGCATTTGCAGAGATGGTAATTCACCAGCTACATGTACACTTGTATTAATAATTGTTGCCACTAGACGTCGGCGATTGTCTTCTAAAGGATCAAGCGATATGTGTTCTAATGACGGCAATGCACCGCCAGCTATCTGTATGTTCCTCACTGAGCTTGCGGAACCAGGATCCCATTTCCTAATTCGTCGGCAACGAATAAGTGTCTATCCCTCAAGTCTTCACAAGCAAGATGCAGCTTCGCTACGCTATCGCATGGGCATTGGTCACCACGCAAGCCTTCAGCGCCTCTAAAACTATCTCAAAAAGTGCCCTGAATGGCTGGTACCCGTGTTCTGAGTACACATTCTCGGATGAAGGTAGCTCGACGGGTCTAGACGCTGAATGCGCTGTGTACAGTGCATCCTGGAATTTGCGAAACTCCTCAGGGTGTCAACTCGAAAGTCGACGTCTTTGTTAAGCGTTTACCTGCAGCCAACCCCGCCACTGCAGCCAATGTATGGATGCTTCAAGGTGGCCCGGGTTCATCTTCCGCGGGTTGTAAGTATAACTCCATTTTGACTGCATTAGCTGACGCGTTACTGATTTTGGTGATGTGGCGATATCTGATTCGTGTTGCCTGTAGTGGAGACGGATATGGTGACCCTGCACGCGGAGCTGGATGGTATGGTTAACGTGTATACGACGGATCATCGCGGCACGGGACGCAGCACCCTGCTTGATTGCGTTGCGGCCCAGGTTACCTCCACAGGTTCCCCTTGGAACAGTACAGTTGACCCGTCGGAAGTACCTGCATGCGCCAAAGACTTGCAGAGCAAATACGGCGACCTTGCGTCCTTCTCCGTGACGACAGCTGCAACGGATATCGCGACTTTTATCGCCAAATTTACAAACGGGGCTGATACCATTGTGTATGGCGTGAGCTACGGCACAATGTTTACAGAAAGACTCATGCATCTTGCTCCTGGATAACTGGATACGTGCTGGATGGCATCGCTACAACTTCTGGAGCGCCTGAGCTCTACTATTTATCAAGATGGGACAGCAACTTCGGCGAGGTAGGTGACGATTTCTTGTCACTTTGTGAGAGCGACAGCAATTGCAAGTCCCGCTTCGATGCTAAAGGTCTCAACAGCACTCTTCAGGATCTAATTCAGCAGTTTGACGACGATCCATACTCAGCATGTGCTGCGTTGGTCAACAGCACGGGGAACGACGAGTCACCGTCTTTCCGTCTCCGCACTGCACTCGGCAACGCGTTGACAGACTCGTACATAAGGACGCTCATCCCACCACTAGTTTATCGCCTTGCGCGTTGTGCTCCTGATGACATGGATGTTCTGAATCAATTCTTCACGGCTATCATCACATTCGTGAATACTAAAACGCAAGACAGCGCGCTCGACTCGAGCCTTCTCTATAGTCTGATTGTGTTCTCTGAAATGATGGAGTCACCACTGCCAGAACTAAAAGATCGCTTTACAAGAGTGAAAACGGGTACTGGGTTTTACCTTATTGGACCTCAATACTGTGCCTTCTCGAAAGAGGAGTCGCCTTCGTGTGAAGAGATGGACGTGAGCACATACGACTCCAACGGCATCGTGTACAAGCGTGATCAGTACTGGAACAAGACAGCTACAATCCCAAAACAAGCGAGTGTGCTGCTGATGAGTGGCAAACTGGATCCCCAGACACCCAACAAATACGCCGAGTACTTATTTGACGCACTTCGGGGAGAGAAGGAGTTGATAGCCTTCGAGTTCGCAACACACGACACTGTCGTTTCGACTCGGATGGTTGCAGGTGATCCGTGGAGCGAAACTTGCGGAATGAAGGTGCTGGCATCGTATGTGCGTGTAGGAGGAGACCTCGAGCGCTTGGATAAATCGTGTGTGATGGAAATGCCAGCGTTCGATCTGGCCACGCCAGAGTACTATCTGTCCAGCTACTTTGGCACAGACGACGCCTACGATGGCGTGTATAATTCAAGCCTCGTGTCGGACACCTAGGTAGCAATTTTCACTACGGATTTCTGCTCAGCTGGACTAATCAATGAAAAACGTTTTAGACATTTTTTGTATTTCATGTTTAACTAGGGGGTTTCAGACATCATATTTTTCGCTCAAAAATCTCGCAAAAAATGACTTTGACAGGAAGCTGAAAAATGATTGGCCAACTCTGACACCTCGATTTCCCTCAAGCTGCAAGTTTTGTATTTGACGGTGACCGCTGACCCACGTTAAAGAAAGAGGAAGAGTACAAGCTTCGCGAGAGCTAGCAGCAGAAGTTCCTTCTTTCTCCAACCCCAGGCCGTCGGACGGCCCGTCACACGGGTCACAGCATCACGTGACCTTGGTAATAGCATCAATTGTCATGAATGAGCTTTGTTTTAACTTACTACTGATACAGACGTGAATGAGTTTGTGTAGACACCACTACCACCAAGTGGAGGTTACAGAATCGAGGATCTGGACTGTAGTGGATGCTGTAGTAGCCGGAGCGTCAGAAGATATGCCTGAAACGGAGAAAAGTAAGATTGTCAGTGCCATATCAAGTGCCCTGTTCCAGGAAGCTTTGCTGGCAGAGCTAGAAGACAGCGACAGTGATTTAATGAACCATTCGGACGCAGAGGGCAGCCCACAAGATGGCAGATCTAGTGAGAGCGATAAAGAAGTCGATGAGCTAGCAGACCTATATACTGGTGTTACCCTAGTAGGGGGTTTCAGACATCATATTTTTCGCTCAAAAATCTCGCAAAAAATGACTTTGACAGGAAGCTGAAAAATGATTGGCCAACTCTGACACCTCGATTTCCCTCAAGCTGCAAGTTTTGTATTTGACGGTGACCGCTGACCCACGTTAAAGAAAGAGGAAGAGTACAAGCTTCGCGAGAGCTAGCAGCAGAAGTTCCTTCTTTCTCCAACCCCAGGCCGTCGGACGGCCCGTCACACGGGTCACAGCATCACGTGACCTTGGTAATAGCATCAATTGTCATGAATGAGCTTTGTTTTAACTTACTACTGATACAGACGTGAATGAGTTTGTGTAGACACCACTACCACCAAGTGGAGGTTATAGAATCGAGGATCTGGACTGTAGTGGATGCTGTAGTAGCCGGAGCGTCAGAAGATATGCCTGAAACGGAGAAAAGTAAGATTGTCAGTGCCATATCAAGTGCCCTGTTCCAGGAAGCTTTGCTGGCAGAGCTAGAAGACAGCGACAGTGATTTAATGAACCATTCGGACGCGAGGGCAGCCCACAAGATGGCAGATCTAGTGAGAGCGATAAAGAAGTCGATGAGCTAGCAGACCTATATACTGGTGTTACCCAGACACGATACATGGAGTCTCGCCAAAAGATACCGCGATCGACGGCACATCGATACAATCTCTTTGAGCATCGTGAAAAAGAGTTTCGCCAGTCGGTTCGTGTAGATCCTGCAACATTCGACTACCTTCTTAGCCTTATCGTGGACGACCCGATCTTTTACAACGGCAGTGAAAACCCACAGACTGACATCGCCATTCAGCTTGCTGTTACGTTGGAATGGTGTGGAACATTTGGAAATGGAAATACATGTGGGAGACTTGCTCGCTCGTACGGGTTCGGAGCTGGGACTATATCGGAGTTCGTTCAACGGGCTCGAAAATCTCTACTTCGTTTCTACTCCCGCTTTGTAGCGTGGCCTTCTGCAACAAAGCGAACAACCTCTTCTGCTTTCCATAGTGCGCGATACGGCCTAAGTGGTGCTATCGGATTCGTCGATGGAGCTTACGTAAATTTTTCACAGAAGCCCCACGTTGATGGTCATCTTTTTTTCACACGAAAAAAGCGCTATGGACTGAATGTTCAGATCTTCTGCGATGAAGACCAGCGCATCCTGTATGCACACACGGGCTGGCCAGGGTCGTGCGGCGACGCCTTGGTGTTTTCTCACACTCAAGTCAGCCAGAATTCGGAGCGATATTTTTCCATCGGTGAATATCTGATTGGTGACAGCGGCTATGCCTTATCTGAGCGCCTTATTACACCATACAAGATGCCTCGGGCCGCACAGTTCGACAACGCGCGGTTCAATACGATTGTGTCCAGTGCACGAGTGGTAAACGAGAACTGCATTGGGGCACTGAAGAACCGATGGGCTTCTCTGTATGGAGTGCGGACGCAGATTAAGGTCGCAGAAGACTTTGCCAAAGTCAACAACCACATCTTGTTATGTGTACTGCTTCACAACGTTACACTGCAAATGAAGGACCCATGGACAGAGGAGGATCGCGAGGACTTTTCCGCTGCTGAAGGTGAAAGTGACGATGAAGATGACGATGGGTGTTGCATTGACACACCGCCAGCATCACGAAATGCTGAAAACAAACGGGAAATGATTAAGCGCCGAGTTTTAGGAAATTATTAAGTGCTAGCTCTTTGGTATTCCGGATGCTAACACTGCTGGAAGAATGAAAACGCAGGGTTCCTTTCAGTCGTTTCGGGAGGCTGTAGCATTGGTCTTGTTTGTTGAAGTTGTGTCAGGAAAGAAAGCTGCAACAATCGTCTGCACTTCATCGAGTGATTTTCCAGTTTTGAGAAGCTCAAGAGCCATGGTCTGTCGGGATTGAACTTGCTGAATTTCAGTTTGTTTTTCCAACTCCTTCACTCGTGCTTCTCGCTCATATTTTTTTCAAGACGCTCCTCCACCAGCATTTTCTCTTTCCATTGCATCTGCACCTTAAGTTTCTTCTCGTTAAAGGCTTGGCGCTTCTTGGATGCCTCTGTGTAAACGCTACCGAAGTCCTTGCGCTTGTAGCACATGGCTTTGTCGACTCCTTTTGTCTCTGCAGCCGTGGTTGCCTTCGTTTTTGCGGCGCTTTTGAAAGTCTTCGTTGCCGGAGTGGACTTCTTTGCAGTTGGCTTCGCTATCGTGGCCATAGTAGGCTGTTGAGAAGTGTGATCCTGTTCTGTGGTGTTTATCAAATTTAGTGGTCGGTATGCCGCACTCTTCTGAGCGTTTGGGCTCACATTCTCCTGGTCGTAGCCGGCATCATTCACGGTACTATTCTGACTAGAAGTCATGCTGTTACACCGATCGATATTTGTTTTGTCAGAGATATTTTCTCGCACGGGAAACCAATCAGCGTCGTCGTACGATGGCTCGCTCATCTCTGAAGGGGGTGCGACATTAGACTTTGCGCCGAAGAGCGCATCAATTCGATGAAAGCATGGGCAACTTTCCTCTGCAAGATCATCGACCGTCATTCCCTTTGCAACCATCTCTTCTGTGAGCCCAAACCCCGTCTGGTTATCCAGTTTGTACCGTGCCGCACGATAGCGACGAAAGATGGAGTTCCAGCGACTTTGGCACTGCTTCGCCTCCCACGCAGCGGCAAGCTTTGGGTCAAAAAATAGTTCCGCTCTCATGTAATCCACCGTAGCGGTGTGCACGAACTCGGCCATGCTGCGGAACCCAGCGATCTTGGTTGTGCCTCCACCATGCGCCATTTTTTTTCCACTTGTCGAGTTCCCTGCTATGATGTTGAAATTGGCAGAAATTTCCAGCCACGATACCATAGCAGCAATTTGATAATGGTATCCAGTACCTGTGTCGTCCTCTCCTTGTTGGAAACGTGTAAGAGAGACTCGGTGTGTCTCCCCCTGTTGCCCAAAAGGCAGTGTCTTCTTATGTTTCTGCTGCCGTGTAGGAGCCATCTTGATTCAGTGCCTTGATCTCCAAGAACTACACGCAAAGATACTCAGCACTTGATAGAGTTCAGCTAAATTCATGGACAAACCTGTGGTATACTGTATAACGTCGAGCAGGAAGAGGACTCTATACGGACTGTGCGCGGACGGTGGAGAGATCCTGGCAGGAAAGCCTGCACTTGACGTTTCCGTGTCGAATTCCGCACTGACCGCATTGGTGCGTGTCCCCCTTCAAGATGAATAAGCCTTATTTATAGCGTTCTGTTTTATAAAAGTCTATGTAAAAGGTTTGAAAATGATAAGGATGACAGGCAATACTATGTTTGACATGGATTACTGTCTTTTTGTGTTTTTACATGATTGCGGCCCACAACAAACTTGTTGGTGGATTATTGTGCCGGACTAAAGTTTAGTCCGGGCAAGCTACTATTTTTGGTACCTTACATATTTTAGGTGCCGACCAGGGGCTAATGGTAGCCAAATATCATATGATCTTTTTGATAGTAATAGTACTATTCTCGATATAAAATAGCAATAGTAACTCATTTTTATAAAAGCTAACATAATATTAGAATATTAACTCGGAAATTATAAAAATATTAGATACTACATGATATTTTATGACATTTTCCCACTTAAGTACGTTTCTTGCCACCTTACCCTCTGTGGAGCCAAATAACTTTTTCGATCAGGTTCTAGAAAAGCAGTAGGCGAAGTATTTGCTCTAGTATTTCACTGTGGCACAGACAAAGGCGATCGAGATGGAAAACTGCAAACGCTTGCAGCTGTTTAACGTTGATAGAGCGAAATCAAGACATTTGTTCTTGTTCTCTACCGATCTCCTTATCCACATCGTGCGTCTAATAAACCTGCTGCCTGTGGCGCTAGATTAATGCGCTCAGCAGTGCCAACACACGACGCCAACCTTGCCGTCACTGACTTGTAGCGTAATTTTTTGAGATGGCGCAAAACAAAATCGTAATTTTCAATAATATTACAGTGGAGTTGAATGGGACGAGGTGCTCAGTCGAACTTAACTGTAAACGAAGTTTTGAGAAAATGCGTTTAGAACATTTGGTGCTGATTTTTTCCCTGTTCATTGCGTGTCCACTGTGGTGAATGTTTTATCTGACTATCACCTACAGCATCGACACACGCGTAAGGGACCATTCTTACCCGGCAGTAGGCTGTTGCTTAGGTCATGTTCTGCGCCCTTCAGCGCAGCTGACGAGGCCTCATACTGGTACGTCTGCTTTCCATTCACCCAAACACTCTCCACAAGATCGGACATCACAAGTGCCGCATGGTTTTCACTCACATCGTAGCGAAGAACCACAAAGTCGGCTTGGAAACCTGGTGAGAGCTGGCCAAGAGCATTCTCTTCCATCGCTGCGAAAGCACCACCTCTCGTGTAGAGCGCAAGAGCTTCGTTGAACGACAGCTGCTCCTCCGGTAAGAAAACCTCCTCGGGTCGATTGGGTTTGTGGCGATAGATAGCGTCGTAGATACCTTGGAAGGGATTGCAGGTCTCGATGGGGGCATCGCTTCCTCCAGCACAAGCGACGCCACTGTCCAGCATGCGCTTCCAACAGTACGAGAACGGGATAACGTCATCCTGCAGACGTTTGCGGACGTACAATGCGTCGGTCACGGTAAACGACGGCTGGATGTTGCCGATGACGCCTTGCTCTCGCATTTGGGCGATCAGATCTGCACCTAGAATCTGACAATGCGTGAGGATCGGACGCTTCTCCGGACCCACGTTGGCTGCCTTAAGAGCCATCAGTACTTGCTCCGCCGCTCGGTCGCCTGGCGCTCTCACATGTCAGAAATAATTTACAATAATATGCAGATGTAATTGCTAACGAACGTACCGATGGCGTGGATTTCGACGCGATACCCAGCAGAACTGGCGTCACTAATCTTCTTGATCAGATCTTGATCAGAGTTCATGAGAATCCCCCTATTACTCGTGCCTTTGTATGGAGCACGCAGTGCCGCTGTTTCCTGAACGAAGCTATACGCATTAGCTGGTAGGCTCTAAATGTATACACAATATATTGTGTATACACGTCGTACCGCTCCAAGACTCCCGTCACTGAAAATCTTCATGCGGTGGCACGACACAAGTCCCTCGCAAGCTCCTGGTTTGGGTGTCGAGGGCTTGCCCAGTTCGTAAGCTGATGGCGTCAGGTACACTCGAACTGGCAACCTTTTCTCCGATTGGAGCTTAGTATACACCTGCCACGCATCCTCGTCGTTCGTGTGCACAGCAGTCAAACCCGCCCGCACACATCTCTCAAACGCGTTCTTTAAATACTTGACACGAAGGTCTAAATGTCATCAACACGAGGCCGTGAGAGAAGGCATGACAGCCACACAGGAGGTCAACGTCGTCGTACCCAGAGACGGCTCGTTCGCGTGCTTCTCCACAATCTGCACCGCCTGCACTCAACCACCACATAGCATTGGCATCACCCAGTTTGCAAAACTCTCTCTTCATACTCCTTACATCTTCTCTCAATACGCCTGTCGCCCCCTTCTCGTCCACGTCGATCGCTCCGTGTTCCACATCATGACTCTTGGCGTCCAAATCCACCCCCGCAATCTCAAGTGCCTTTGTATTCACCACTGCAATGTGCCAACACGCGCGATGTAAAATGACGGGTCGGTCTCTGATCACGGCGTCGATGTCGTGTCGACTTGGGTATCGAGCGTCACTCGAGAGCTCGTCCTGTGCCCAGCCGATGCCTATAACCCAGGCCTTGTCGGGGTACTGAGAGTCGTATCTCTTAAGACGCTCTGTGAAGTTTTCATAGGACGTGCAACCCGATAGATCGAGCCACTCGGCGCTCTCCCCCAACATGGCGACGTGAATGTGCGAGTCATGAAGTCCCGGCAGCACCAGCGCACCATGGAGATCCTCTGTCTCGTCAGCAGGAGGGGGAGCTCCGGAGCCCACGGACACAATGAGACCATCGTCCGACACTGTCATCCACTGTGCGAACGCTCCAACGACGGAGGTGGTGGTCTCTGCCCATTGCCAGATCTTCCCATTCACGAACGTTTTCATGCTATTAATAATCAACGAATTATGTTGCTTGAAGTAAGAAATTCCATCTTTTATTGAAATTATGTGTCCATTATTCTAATTACATGTAGTTTTTCTTCAGAAACTGGGTCTTAAAACCGGTATTAAGGTCTTCCTTCCTTTCACCGGTACTTTGAAATGAGAAAAGGACCAAATACTGTCCTTTCTTTCAGAATACCTTACCAAATCAATTTAGATATCGATTTCAGTCCGGTAATACCGCTGGAAACAATAAACATGCTGCATGGAGCAAAGCGCCGCCGCTGTGTCGTGCTGGCTGACGGTTCCGCCATCGGCAGCTACCAGCGCAACTCGCACGAGACGCACACGGTTGTAATTGAACCCTCAGGCCACACGTACTCGTACATCCAGCCGGATGGAACGCGGACTCGGCATCTAACGCCCACTGCCCTCTCGAGTCATCGGCCTTTGGTGCTCGATACCCTCAATCTGCGCAACAAATTCACGGACCACGCGCCGTATGTGCATCTACGCCTGATGGATTCGAAGAATGTAAGGCGTCTGCGTCGAATTTGTGCGCCGCGAGCAAGATGGCCGCGCTCAGAAGGAAACACGAAGGTCTCTAGATTATTCAACGACCAGGACAAGTGCTTTGAAATGCAATCGATAGAGGGAGCCGCTAAAGTCCGCCTACATACCAGTGGGAAACTCATAAAAGTCTATTACGTGGTGGAGGTGAAAGTATCAGATGATGACATGGAGGAGTGCAGCCATGCGCACTATGCAACACTGTGTCGGTCGTTTCCAGCGAGGCAGACGCCCGAAGATTTCGCGTTCCCGGTGGGCGTTCTATTGGCAGCCAAATCTGCATGGGATAAGGACAGAGAGGCGGAAATCGAGTACAATGGGGAAAGTGATGACAGTCCCGTGGTATCTCAGTTACCGAGGAACGGCGCGTTCGCTGCACGTCCGGCATTCTCGGTCATTGCTACGAGTAATGATGGAGTGCAGGTGGATGGAGATAGCGAGAGTTGTTTGCCGTTAGCGGAGATACTTCGGATTGCTACGCTACCTTCCAAGTTGTTGTACCAACGTGTCGTGGCGGAGGTGGTTGGAGATGATACGACGGTGTTTGTATCGCACAGAGAACCTGGTCAGCTACCGGAAATTGTGGTACGGTCGCTTTGAAAGTGGTTCGTTTCATCACTTTTTATTAAACTTTCCCCCCTATTGCTAGGTGCAATTGGACAACGAAGGTTTTCTCTTAACTGGATGCGATGGGTTTTTCACATGGTATGACGAGACGGGAAGACTTCAACATCGATTCACACGCGAAACGATCCCACCTTCCACCACCATTGAAACAAAGAGCTCCAGCAGCTCTGTGGCTTCATTATGCCAACACATTGACTACGTGCTTCAAGCTTTCAAGTATCCTTCTCCGTTGCTGACCCAAAACTCCTCGTCGCCTTCGAAATCTGATAAAGTAGAACTGATAGAAGAAGTCGAAAACGAGCTCGGTCGCTTCCGTGCGTATCGTGGCGGTCGTATTCGAGTCGCATTCGCTGATCGCACCATCCTCCAAGTGGAACGCAACGGCGAGAGTTGCTCTTTTTTCTTCCCGGACGGCAGCACCGGCCAAACCACGTTAGCATCAGCTCCACTACGACATCGCACCTACATCTACCAAGCTCTGGAATTCGGCGACTGGGCTTTTGCATCTCAAGAAGAACGTATGCAACGTCACGAGAAACGGCAAGAAGCGCAGGCGATTGTTGCTCGAGAGCTGCGACGCATTAACGTGCGCTGCGGGATGAACAGCGAGCTCGAAGTATACAACAAGGTGAAACCTGCCACTAAGGAGAAGGAAGCTCACGCAGATCCATCGTTGGCTTTGTCTCTAGCTGCTGTAAAAGAGCTCCAAGCAGCTACATTGGCGCATATCGTCAGCGTCGACCATGCTCTGCAGGCTGCAGCATCCATGGCAACCAAAGACACATGAATACCGGTAAACTTACTACAAAAAGAGTAAACGACACAAATTTGATCAAACGAAACTGTCTATCTCACAAAATGCGGTCCAAAAAGAGGCATTTACGGGTGAAGGCAGAGGCGCCCGCAGTCGTCTACTTTCTCTTCCGCAGCGTCTCCTCCTCGCTCTCCTTAGCCGCTACTTGTGCCTCAATGTTCTTAACGGCAGTCTCAGCAGCCTCTGCTTGTGCCATGGCCTTAGCACGCGCTGCCTGCGTGGCCTTCATCTGTGCCTCTGCCGCCTTACGCTGTGCCGCCATTTGCTGCTCAGCAATATGGTTCATAAACTGCACGGCCTGAGGGAAGATTTTGTCGGGCCAGCCCTCACCTGCATCGAGTAGCAATAGAAACCAGTTTAGTAACACAATTTTTAAACCACAATAACGCAAATATAACAGCTACATACCAGGCTTGAGCTCCTCAGCTTCTCTGCGGACCTCATTGATCTCGTCATTAATCATTTCCTCCGCCAGTTTATAGCTGAGGAAAGAGCCGTCCTTGAGGATGTCGTTCTTCTTCAGGCGCTGGATGCCCGAGCTCTCCGACTGGATCTTGCGAATTAGCGGAATGTCGGCCACAGCGCGGCGGAACAGCAACTGGAAGCATTTGTCCGTATCCTCCGGGTGCTCCTCCTTGCCCTTGCGGTACTCCTCCACCTCGTCCGGCAATGCAAAGTCGAAGCCATTGATCATGGCCTGCAACGACTCGTCCACCTCGTCCGTCTTCTTGGGCAGCATCACACGCGCTGCCATAATCATCAGCACTAGCGTCACGCCCGTCACCGCAATGGCCACGATCTGAAGGTCCGTCAGCATCCTGTCCGCTAGTATCTAAGTGTCTGTGTGTCTCTAGGACGGCAAAGCGTACAACGTTGAGAGTTGGCGAGTGACTGCGCTACGTGTCGGCATGGGACCGCGTGGTGTAGAAAACACAATGCTACTTCTTTTTTCATCCAATCGTATTCAGTCGCGCCAAAAACATCTTGAACCTGCTCAAAATCAGGAATGAAGGTCGCTGACACCAGTAGCGCGCAGTACGCGCTGCTGCGGGCTCGAGAGCTGTGTCTGCTAGGAGACTATGACCAGGGTATTTCCGCGTTCCGAGCTGCGCGCCAGACGCTGGAGATGCAGCTGGGCGCAGACGTAGAGGCGCAAACGTTCTTGCGGGACTTGCAGGGCGAATACCGCACTATCCTCGAGTATCGCAGCACGTTGCAGAGTCTAAAACTCGCTGCCAACAAGGTGCAGGACACACAGAGACGCGGTAAAGTCGCAAAAGCACGGCGAGCAAAGCGAAAACAGGAAGAACATGCCATCACGGAGCAAAATGTGGCCAAGAAGCAATGGGAAAAGCCTCAGCCTGCACGTCGACCGAGTGTCCAGCCAACTAGAGAGAGACACGTGCCGCTGTGGATGCATCGAGGCGAACCACGAGCTACGACAGTGATGAGGTGCGTACATCGCGAGGCTTTGGCTGTTCTGACAACGTTTTAACGCCGGTATTGTTGAGTAGAGCTCGGCAATTGGCTCAGCAGCGTAAAAGTGCAGCTGGATCGACATCAAAGACGTCTTTGGGGCCTGTTGGAGTGGAGAGTAGGAGTCGAAACGTAGTTAAACGAGGTGGAACGTCCGCCTTAGCTACAGAATCGAAGCAACGCAAGACAAGACGAGGCTCGCTCAAGTCCAAACGACGCGAGAGTGTCCAAAGCACTGCGAGCTCAACCACCACCGAGTCGAACCAAGAGACGATCGCGGGGAAAGTCAAGTACTCGGAACTGGCAAAGGAGAACGACTGGGTGGATCAGGAGCTTATTGAAGCGATCGAGCGAGATATCGTGGACCATGGGGAGAGCGTCACGTTTGACCAGATCGCAGGCCTTGAACACACCAAGCAGCTGCTGCAGGAGACGGTGATGCTTCCACAAATTGCGCCACATTTGTTCACGGTAAGTAAAGCTGCTAGTTCAAGTCGCTGATTTTGTGCGTTTACTAAGGTTATTATTTGTTGCAGGACGGACTGCTGAAGCCATGCAACGGCGTATTGATGTTTGGGCCGCCAGGAACAGGGAAAACGCTTCTTGCCAAGGTACAGCACTTTGATTTAGTCAAAATGCATGGTTATTCAGGTAGGTTCACACACTTCTCCGCCGTGTCAGGCCGTCGCACACGAATGTGGAACGACGTTCTTCAACGTGTCAGCCTCCACGCTGTCGTCAAAGTATCGAGGCGACTCGGAGAAGATGGTCCGCATCTTGTTTGATATGGCTCGTTACTACGGACCGTCCATCATTTTCATGGACGAAATCGACGCCATCGTGTCGACTAGAGGCGCTGCAACAGAGCACGAAGCGAGTCGAAGGTAGCGAGGAGACATGTTGGCTCGTACTGGCTGGCATCTAACGGACTCTCGTGCTTGATCAGGGTGAAAACGGAGCTTCTAGTTCAAATTAATGGCGTCACAACCGTCGAGCACGACGGCAGTCAAGTGATGCTTCTTGCAGCTACGAATCTCCCGTGGGAGCTAGATGAAGCCATGCGGAGACGACTAACGAAGCGAGTCTACATCCCTTTACCGGAGGCTGCAGCTCGTCGTGCCCTTTTTGAGCTCAACTTGGGTCGAATCGACTTGGCGTCGGATGTCAAGCTGGACAAACTTGTCGAGGAAACGGAGGTATATGTTTGTTAACTTTATAATAACTCTCTTCTTGGTTACTCAGCTGAGTATGTGTGTGTTTGATGCTGTTGCTACAGGGCTACAGCGGAGACGATATCACTAACCTCTGCGAAACAGGTGAGCACGCTTTAAAGTCCTACACCAGCACTGTACTGTTCCAGGTATGAGTAAACGTTTGGTGCTCTCTCTAGCCAAGCGCATGCCTGTCAAACGTGTCTATACCCCCGAGCTGCTACTCAAGATGCGTCGAGAAATGGAAGCAGGCGAGGATTGTCGTGAACTCGACACGGAGCGACTCGTTGTCACTAAGGTGCGAACAGTATACCTGCTGGTTCTGTTGCTGGCTAATTATCTCGAGTGTTGTGTGCGTGCAGGCAGATTTTGCAGAAGCTTTGAGCAACGTCTCCAAGTCTGTAGGACACGACCAACTCTGTCGATTCGAAGAGTGGGAAACCGCGTTCGGGTCAAAATAATACGACTTGTAGTATTATACGAATGCCGGAGTGCCGGGCCGGCACTGGTACCACTTCAAGCAGGTTTGTTCCGTACCTGCTCTGTCTCTATCGTCATTGGACAGTGCCACGTTCCCCGGCAATCGCATGCAAACTCTCATTATTGAACGTGCGAAGTGAGGAAACAACATGGCTTGGCCAAGTCGCAACACCAACGACGTCAACGACTTCCAGTCCAGCAAGAGACGCAAACTGAGTTGTGCTGAGCAAAAGGTGTGGTTGTCAACCTAACAATTTATACTAGGCCAGCGTTGCGCATGATACTGAACGCTGCTTGATGACACAGGAGTTGCTAGAGAGAGAAATTCGCTTATTGGAATCTGGCGTAGCCGTGTGCAAGACTCGAGGTCTGCCTCCTCATCTTCTCGTGGACGAAGACCCGGTTCTGCGACCGATTGCTGTGAAATTAGCTGGACTCTTGTGCGCCAAGCAGCTCCAACAGAACCATATCGCCAAGATCCAGTCCACTTTGTCACAGTGTCTGGTACGTGGCCTGCATTCTTAACCAAAACTCAGACAAACTAAACTAAACATCGCACTGTAGATGGACCAGCCTTATCATCCACTTTACACGCAAATCTGTCTGACAAAAGACTGGAAAGAACGTCGCTACACCCTTCGAGCCATGCGCGAGTCCAAGCTACGTGACGGATACGACTTTGTCATGTCGCGCTCGCACCTCGTTGATCCTTTTTCTTCTCATTTCTCCGAGGATCGATTCGAGACCGAGCAAGGAGATCTCTGCTGCGTTCGCTTCGATATAATCCACTTCCCTGGCGTCGCTTCGCTCCAGCAAGTGTGCGATGCGTTGGCGTTCTTCATGACCAACATGGAGATCGTCATCTCCGAGCAACTCGGCCATGTTGTGCTTCGAGACGACTACGATACCATCGAGGACGAGGCTTTCCACAGTCGATTCGCGCCGAGGAATCGCAGTGGAGGGCAACGCCATCTCGTTTTGTCACGTGTTTAATGGAGAGAGCGATGGCTTTGGCTCGGAGCCTTGTGGGGTTTTCATCGTGGACTGCATCGACCAAGACGAGCTGTATCCCTCTCACAGTAGTGAACGTGTTCGAAGAGATTCCTCCGGGGCGATTGTGTTGACTGCAAGTAGAAGGAGAAGCGCTACAGACCAAGGAGGAGAGCTGGTCGTCACGATGAGACGAGCCACGTTCTTAAAGATCCGTCGACCAGAGTTTTATCTCTCCGATCTGATACTCCAAGAAGTGCACGATGAAATGATGGGCTGGGCTGACGTGATGCTCAAGAGTATTCGAAGCTTCGTGTATGCGACGACTTAATCCCTCGACTGTAATGGCAGCGGTCCTACAAGTCGCACAGCTCCATTAGTATTCGCCTCATCAGGCTCCAAGGCGCATGAATAGCCCAGCAATTGGACGCCGCGCGTAGCTGCTACTGCGCACAGTTCAGCAAACTTCTTGTCGTGTTGGATTGATGGCGCAAACGTGTTGCAGTCGTCACGCTGCACCAGGAAGATGATAGCTCCACTCACTTTGGCCGCCTCCTTCTCCTTAGACTCGTTCGTCTTTGTAGACAACAATTCCGTCAGCTCCGTGACGTGCTTCTGTGCTCGAGTGGACACTGTATCGGGGAATACAGCGCACCGAGAGGTATCCTCGGATCCTGCCAATGCCAGAGTGACGCTCTTGACCTCGACATATTTCTCGTGAGCGACAGTACCGTCGGCGTTATTTGTAGTCAACACGAAGTCCACGCGACTGTTCTTAGCGAAATTGACCTCACGACGTACCGAGTCGTAGGCTCCAAGCTCAGGGAACCACCGCGAAGTCAACGCTTGCTCTACCATCCGATTCGCCGACGTAGAGTGCACACCAACCCACACGTTCCTCTCTCCATTCTATAAAATAAATTCACAAAATTTAAGTTTACGGTAAGAAAAAACTGTTATTGCCGTGGTACGTACATGAATCTGGATCATCTCGAGCGTGTACGCGTATTTGCGCTTGGGGTCGTCACTCTTTGATAGCTGCACGCGGGCGTTCGGTAGTCCGTCCAGTAGCCCTATCATCGGTCCCGTGTTTGGGCAGTACACAGTCACCACCTCTTGGTCTTCCTCAATTCTATCCGCGACTTCCTCGCCCTCCAGGAGTACGACATCGGCTAGAAAACGTTTATACCGACGGATAAGTCGTGCCGGAACTAAATTCGAGTACTTGAACAAGACTTTAGAGTCGCTCGAGGTGTGATCCACTCGCTCTTTGAATGCCGAGAGCACCGGGAACTTGGAACTGGTGGGAGCTACAACTTCGACCTTCTGTCCGATCGCTTTGGCCCCCATAGACGTCGCTTTCGACTTTACAGCTCGTCTTTTCGGAGTATTCGTACTTGAAGCACTGCTAGTGCTGGTCACTGTGGCGGACGAAGCAAAGTCGCGCTTCCGGCTGCGTAGTTGCATCTTGATGACGGCGCTTCCGACACTTCGAGTACTTGCCATGGTAGCCGCACAATGATGCTAATCAATATACAGCGATGCGATTGGCTAAAATTAGCTCAGTTGGACTTCAACCATGAAAATGTAGGAACAACTTCATGGTTCTTCATGGCATCAATAAGAAACGACAAGATGCTGCTACATGATCATTACGCTGCGAGGGTGACTCCCTCGATCTCGAAAGTCATGACCGACCCGGCAGGGAAGGCAGCGCTGAACGACTTGCCTGTGGCTTTCACGGTGCTCGCCTTGTGGAGCGCTCCCTTGCCGCTGGTCTCGGTAGTCCACGCGTTGATGGGCCCCGCCACAGCTGCGAAGCTGGCCAAGTCGAATGTGACGGTCTGAGCGTCGCCCATATTCACAGTCACGACGACCAGCAGCTTCTTCGCCGAGTCGTAGCCCAGCACGGTCTTGGCGTCGTCCGAGGCGAGGATCTGCATGCCCGGACGAACATGACGCGAGTACTGCGCCATCACGTAGTACTTTGGGTTGGGCGTGCCGATCCATTTGTCGCCCGGGTTGGACTGGATGAGGCCCCAGCCGCCACTGTCTAGCGCCTGCCAGTACACGAAGCCCGACACGCCCATCTCGTTGATGTCAAGGCCAATAGACTCGGCCATTGTGAGCCCAGTGGCGTCCTTCTCGCCGTACTCGGAGTCCCACAGACTCTTCATCAGCTTGTTAGTGAGATCCCTTAGTCCCCCACGGTCAGGGCCACGGTAGGCTTCAAGACCCTGGTAACCGTGCGTGTTGACCTTTTCAAACGAACCCATAACGTCGGCGTTGCCGGACATAGTGTCCAATGTATGCAAAGCCTCGGTAGCCGAGTTCTCGTCAGACGTAGCGATAGCCACATCCTGAAGCTCAAGAGCGTCGAGTTGCTTACGTAGAAGTGGCAAAATGGTTTGTTGCGTGTCCACCGAAAAGTGGCATCCTTCCTGTTTACCAGGGAACTCCCACCACGTCTCTGAGGGCTCGTTAAAGGGCTCAACGAACGTGAACTTAATACCCCAATCCGACTTGGCCTTACTCACTACAGTGGCCAAATACAAGACGAACTCGTCGTGGTTCCACTCTTGCAGATTGTCCTTCTTTCCGTCGGCTCCGCCTGCAGTTGCGCGGTTGTTGGTCATCCACCAGGGCGGCGAGTTTGAGAAGGCTTCGAGCTGGTTCGCTCCTCGTTGATTGGCTAGCGTGAGCATCGCACGCTGCTTGACGTCAGCCTTCCAGTTCCAACTCGTGGAAGCCGCGTCCTTGCTCATCCAATCGAGCCAGAAGCTCTCCATAAACTTGAACGCAGGCATGTTCTCCGACGTCTTCATCGCGACCTCAGTGCCGCTGTCGTCGACGACGTTGCTGCTCGAGCCTCCGATGTTGTAACGAGCGATGTTGAAACCAAGACCCGGAATGTCTCCAGCACCGTCCACGGCCACAGTCTCGTTCAAGGTGAACAGAGCGTCAGCGATGTCCGCACGGTCTCCGAAGACGTTAGCCCACCAGCAAAGCGATGTGCCCCAGCCATCCCACGTGCCCTGCACAGTCGAAGCGGCATCTGCTTTCACCGTGTAGTCGGCAGCGACTAGCGACGGGTTGGCAGATAGGAAAGCGCAAGCCAGCGCCGAAGCTGCGAGAGACCGAATCGTTAGCATTTTTTGCTGGTCGAGCACTTCTCCTGTTCAAAGTACAAACGGGAATGGCACGCTCCTTGTCTCGTCCGAGTCCGACGATCAGGGGAGTCGTTACTGCAACCTATCTACGATTACACGACAAAGCGCTGAGAGCAACCTACGACTCTCTGGGTTGCTGGGTAATTTATCATGGTTTATATTACGTACAAAATCACAAGAGCCGAATTTTAAATGCTGTGATAACTATGTTCGAGTAAGTACGAATTTCTTACTTTGTTCGAGTAAGTACGGATCCCACGGTCCCCCCGTTTTAAACGGGAGTGGAGGCCGCAGCCCCGGCGAGGATGTCGGCAAAGGGAGCGCCAGCGCAAGGAGAAGAAGGCTCTACAGATTGAGGTACGGGTTCAAGTCATCGTGGTACTCGTGCTGCTTCCGCCACCTGACGATATTTTGCTTGTTAAAAAGAACGTCGTGCTGGTTTGCGATACCACAAGCCCGTCGACTACGTCCGCGCTGCTCAAGGGTTCACCACGGACCCTGTGGACGATGATATGTATATCGATGACCCGTCAGCCACCCAAGCGGATGTGATGAATGAAGATGCTGACATGGAGGGTCTGGTGAACGAGGACGAGGTCTACGACGCAGGCGCAGACGCCGCAGGCGCAGACGCCGCAGACGGAGAAACTGCAGACGGAGACGCCGCAGACGGAGACGCCGCAGACAGAGACGCCGCAGACGGAGATACCGCAGACGGAGAAGCCGCTATTGCCGACGCCACAGCAGACGCAGATGTAGCGACAGACGCCACACACGGAGATGCTGCAGACGGAGACACCGCAGACGGAGATGCCGCTAGCGCAGACGCCGCAGACGGAGAAGCCGCTATTGCCGACGCCACAGCAGACGCAGGTGTAGCGACAGACGCCGCACACGGAGATGCCGCAGACGGAGACACCGCTAGCGCAGACGGCGTACACTCACGAACTACGGCACCTGTCGAAACAAGACCTGCTAGTCAAGTCAGCCTCGGTATGTTGCTTGCTGTGTTGCTTCATTGTGTTGCTTTGTGTGTTGTTTTGTAATGTTGCTAACTTTTTGTGGCTGTTGATATTAAAGATGCGGTTCGCCAGTTTGTGACAATCACCCGACAGAGCGCCGAAGCTGAAACTGCTACAATCAATTCCAGAACAAGTTGTCAGTCAACTGCGGGGTCGAAGTCAAAACCGCAAAAGAAAAAGTCT